TTGAAGATCCTCTGATTCCCTTAGAGGAGACCAATGAGGGAAGGAACAAAGATCTTCTGGTGAATGCAGTGAAGACCCTCCATAGGTTGGACTCAAGGCCAGAAGAGGTGATGGAGTGCCTCCAAAGGCTTGTCAAGCAGCTGGCATTTGTGGAGATGACAGTACCCTTTATTTGCTTGGCAGGTGACTGTCGTTGACATTGGCAGTGGAGAAGGGTCCTCTCAGGAGGCTTGGCAGGGGGGTGGCAACAACAGACATGAAGATCTCTGGTACTTGGTGGGAGTCTGGCAGCGATGAAAAAGGCAGAGCAGATGGGTTCACTCTCGAGACTAGGTAGAGTGCGGGTATTGGTGAAGCAGGGCAGGGAACCAGCCGCTGAGGAGTGGCCAAGCACAAGCTCAAGAAGGTCAACTGTGAAAGCAGTATCTCTGTAGAGGCCTGGCTGGAGGCTGAGATGGAACAAAGGCGGTGAAAACAAAATAAGTCCGCAGACCAAAGATAAAGGGAGGCCATCTTGGGTAAAACAAGATCTAATGGCTCAAGCAGCTTGGGACACTTTGGCTCAAGCTCAGACACTTTGGCACCCTCTGAAAACACTAGAGGCTCGGGATATGCAGGGCACACAGGCACCCTGGGCTGGGGCTGTGGCACACTGGACACAATGGCACAGCATCACCTCAGACTCAAGATATTAAAACCACTCTGCCAGCGCAGAAACCAGGAACAAAGTCTCTGGGCTGGCCGGTTCAGACAGCTTATGGCTAACCAGCTTGGGGTTCACAGGATGCTCAGTGTGAGTGGATTTACAGGATACTCAGAGGACTAAGTCATATGAGGAGCTACCAGACGAAATACCATACCATACCTAACCCTTGGGCAAAACAGCCCTTAAAGGATCCTATTCATGGTGCAGGAACAGGCTGGGGCCTACTGACTTTCCTCCTTTGAGCAGGGATCGACCTGGCCTGGTCGAAACCTGGCCTTAGCTGACCCAGGCGGAGAAGCAGGCAGCCTTCATTGCAGCGATGGATGTAGTCCTGGTGTCAGTCACCCTCGGAGCAGTCCCTCTGCATGTCCATCCATAAATCGATTAATCCACTAATTCGTCCTTCCATCTGTCCATTCAGTCACTAGCTGTTCCCTGCCCTTTTAAACTAAGGAGTTATAGAGAGCAAGGCAAATGTTTCTTCAAAAGCAGTTTATATAACTTTATTTAACTCTTTGATATATACCACTCAGCTGAATAAAATAAAAAAAACCCTCATGTTTAGCCTATCATTCATTGCTTGCAATAATAACACTGTTGTTCTAATATAGTCACACACAGTTGCTCTTAAGTAGTTATGTACATATGGATTACACCATTAATGTTCCTCCTCTGCTCTCTGTCTTCATCACTATTCTTAACCTCCCACATAGATAACAATGAAGAAGTAGTGGGTGAAGAGGTGATGGAAGATGAGGACACAGAGGAGGAGCAGCATGAGCAAGCACTAGAAAGGGAGGAAAAAGAGCACGGTGATTTTTTTGAACTGCAGTAAATAATAGATAGCAGCAAAAAGAAATGGAAACAGATGGGAGAGTGAGGAAGACAAAGAACAAATAGAGAAGACAGAAGTAAAAGAATGCATCAAAGAAAAAGTGCAAATGAAAAAGAACGTGTGAGTACAGGAAGTGAGATTAAAAGAGAGAATGCATTTTCTGTTCTTTTTCTAAACGGTTGGCAGTTTTGAATCTCACAGCTTAACAGTACTGCTATACTCATTTGATTATGCAACCACAATCACACTTAACTGGGACAGGATATGATTGCTTTATATGAGGACTAAAAATACAATAGTGGGCAATAAACAACCACAATCCATTAAAAACATAACACGAGCTGTAGTTTTGCTGTAGAAAAGTTTTAAAATCCAATTTGTTCCTAAATGATCTGGTAGACTATGATGCAGGATTAAGGGGGAGGATAATGTGGATACGCAGTTGTTCAGAGGATGTTGAAAAACAATAAAAATCACAGTGTCTGACACATAGGCCTTAAATATTTCATGAGAAAACTGTATTAACAGTTAAATGGAAAGACAAAATAAAAATCTTAATTAGGTACAGTTATTGAAGAAAAGTAGGCCACCTACATATTGTATCTACAGAAGCTACTCAGACATGAAAATTTACGCCATGAAGCTCCTGGTCACAATTTCTATGCTAATACTAATGCCCATCTGCAACACTTTGTGGTTTGCCATTTTGTGGTTGATAAATGCTTCCACTCCAATAATGCCAGGTACACGTACAGCTGATCATGGAATGTCTGGGAGGGAACAAATTGTACAATGTGTTGCAGAGTTGTCATCTCATTAAGGTACCATGCAAGAATTTTGTGAGTTCTTTGGAGCAATCTGTTCTTTCACAAATGTTTGGTGCTTGAATTTATCCTCCCACACCCCATCCCTGCCCACCCACCTCACCAATCTGAGCCATGTAACCCTCATCACTCAGGTCACTCACATACAGGCTCTATACTCAGACCAAGGCCTTCCAAGCACTTTGCTCTCTGTGCCTTTCTCTTGTTTTGTACATGTTCCTCTAGTTTGTATATTTCCTCTTGAATGTATAAATCTCTTCTGTTTGTTATTTTTTCCTGATGTCCTGTACATTTCGTGTGGAGCACCCATAATTTTATTGTTCATGTATAATGGCAATGAAGGGCTATTCTATTCTATTCTATTCTATTCTATTCTATTCTATTCTATTCTATTCTATTCCTGTGGTAATGCAACTGAAAACTGCTGAATTTAAGATGATTTGACTTTTGTCCGTATAGTGTGCACGCCAAACACAATTTCCCACTGAAAGAAAAACGTGTAATGCCTGTATATATTTTTTTAATTGTTATTTTTTTCTGTTTGCTGGTATTGCTATCACCTAACTGCCAAAAATGCTCATGTAGTACCATTATTGTTTTAGCTTCTGGTGCGGATTTTTTTTTTTACTTTGTTGCTATAAATACAGTGTTTACTTACATTTTATCCTTCTTTAAAGTTACTTTTCAGTTTCACTTTCTTACAGTTACGTTTAGGCATCAAAAGGAGAAAAATTCATTTGAGTTTCACAAAATACACACAAATAAATTAAATTAATGTAACTACTGTGTGGAGTTTATTAATGTAGCCAGTTATTAAGATACAATGGCAAAAATCCAAATGAGCAAAACCTCTTTCCTCAAATTATATTTTCCACTCAGGCACTCCTGATGAAATCGATTCATCACGGCTCACTAAGTCTGACAAGTCCCAATACTCCTGGTGTCATCTGTGTCCAAATGCGAGTCTTAATCTGTTTTCACTTATTTCAGTTATCTCTCATGTGGACGTAAAAACCCTCTATAAAGATTCTAAATGTCCATATTGGAAGCTCTTCCACTGATAATAAGAAACAACTATTTATTTCTCAAAAAAAGAGAAAAGCATAATGGGGATCAGGAATGGAAGTGTCCATCGGGATCTAGCAATTATAACTTTAGTCAAAATACAGACATTTAAACCTGCCAGCATAAAGTTGCTTAGTCTGTTGCTCAGAGACAAACACATGTAACTGCACGTACCATGAGTGGATGGGAATGCTTCAAAAGGGGCCTCAGAATTCTTCAGCTTTTAAGATTTGTCTTTGTATAAAAGTGAAGCCGGTGATAAATCGGTACATCCATCAATGAGCCGTAGAAATTACAGCTATAATTAAATTGGTAAACAAGTTACTTACGTGTTGCACAAATCTTTCACTCTTTAAAAGCAATTTTTTTTAATTTATTCATCAAAAGATAAACTATACAAAGGCAAATATTTCACCATGAACTCCATTTAAATCTCCAACCCTATAAGGCAAAATTTAAAATATAAGTTAACTAATAAATTATGGTTCGGTTTTAATTACGGTATAGTGAATTAGTTCCAGCTGTGCTGTACATTTTAATGACTAAACATTTATATAGAGTTTATTTTAATTCAAAACATTTGTTTGTTTGTTTTTACTTCAGTAAAAGTTTATATTATAGAATGTACATACACTGTAGTATTACTACTTGTATATAAGTATAGGATGTAGTTGATAATCAGCATTTGGGTTGTTGTTTATCACAGATCCAAGTACCTGTCAAAAATAGCTCTATAACATTGTTCTTGTCTCTTTATGAAAACTATTATGATTTGTAAATAAGCTAATATATAAACTTATCAAACTACAATTAAAAGAACTTTAATTGTAAATAAATATTTGCGCAGTGACAACAGGCAACAGAAAGATGTGTCCTTCCCCTGTGGTCAGCAGGCTGGAGACCAGAGTGAGGGATCTACAATAGGCAGGACTACAGTTAATCCACTGAGCAGGCTGAGAAGTCTTAACCACAAAGCATGAAAACTTAGCAAAACTAGCATGCAGCTGATACCTTCGGATTGCCACACAGAGAAGCGTGATTGATCACTCCGTAGAACACATCTCCACTGCTCTAGAGTCCAGTGGCGGTGTGCTTAACACCACTGCATCTGACACTTCTCATTGCCCATGGTGATGTAAGGCCCGAATGAAGCTGCTTGGCCGCTCGATTCCATGGAGACACGTGAAGTTTAGAGGTCTGTACCGATTGGCTCTGCAGGAAGTTAGCGCCTCAGCATCCACTGACCCCCGCTGTGTGGCCTTCCACTTCATGGCTGAATTAGTGTCATTTCCAATCGTGTCCACTTAGTTATAATACCCCTAACAGTTGACTATGGAGTGTTGATTGTTGGGGTTTTCTCTCTGTAATTGTAGGATCTTTGCCTTACTAAGATATTGAAAGTGCCTCGAGGTGACTGTTGTAACTTGGCTATAAATAAAACTTAATTGACTTGAATATGAAGTCATTATGGGCCCTTTGGGTGAGTTTGAATGTAAAAAGTTTTCCTGCATGAGAAGATATTTCTGTCTTACAATGAGAGAATGTGTGTGAGTAAAGCTTTGTCTCTCACCGAGCCACTTGGTTGATGACAGGAGCAAAGTTGGTTGGACCATACAGCTGAACAGTTCGCAGGCTCTGAAAGTAAGCCTCTAGTACACCTTCAATGCCAACACAGTTTGGGTTCTCGGAGTTAAAGTTCTGCAGAGAAGAAAATTCACTTTGTGAGGGAACATTCATACTGACGCCAACATTCAATGATGCTTTGACCTACCACTAGAAATCCTGCAATACTGAGCTCCACTCTCTGTCTGTGACTTAACTTACCTTTACGTCCTTATATTTAAATTTTATAGCACTCTAACCCCAAGGGGATAAAGTAGAATATTTTTCTACTGGTTTGACTGGCAATTTCATCTGTATGGTCTCCTCAAAAGCTAATTATCGTTGTTTACATACTGCTGATGTAGATAGCTATTATTCACCATACACTATAGCTTGAGAAGCAACCAATAATCAATACATACATACACACACATATCAGGCACAAATACCTGATATATGACCTGAAAGAATGTCTACATAAGTATTCACAGGCTTTGTTTCCACTGATGATCTATCAGACGATCAGTGAAAGTCCTATTTCTACAACTTGGCTGCAGTTCACTGACTGTTGCTATGACTGCAAAATCTACTTGAGATTTAGGAGCAGCAGCTTCTCGTGCTGCATCCTGAAGACATTATCATGACCAAGTCAAGGAGGGTATAGCATGAAAGCAAATGCAGAGGAACGGCAGCTATGTCCTAAGTTCATGACTCAGTATTATCAGGTTTATTATATTTACCCTCTCACAGTTAACACTTGTTAGCCCACAAGATTGATAATATGTAGAAACCTTTGAACCTCAGGGTTTGACTGTGTGCCTCTTTGACCATAAACTTCCTGTTTTGTAGTGTGTCTAGCTGCACAATTCACAGGTAATGTTGCTATGAAACACCAAAGGAAGCTTCACAATAACGGGTATTTTACTGAGTTGGGCCCATGGTAATATAAAAACATCCTAGAACAAACTCCCCTACCTCACCCTCAAAGTAAACGTAGTGTTTTGATAGCACCAATTTCTGGGACATACCACTAAGTGAGACAAATACTCTTAATGGATTTTGGTTGTTCATTTATTCATAAATTTAACAATGAAAGAAAGTAGCTAATTAAGACACACTAAACTTAATTGTTCAGGTCAGTTGAATCCTTTGAAGGTAGGATTTTCTTCCACACACTGTGTATTCAGCTGGAAGATCACTGACACTACTTTATTCAACTTGGTTTAATTTCTAGGTGTTCTTCCAGCCTGAAATGATTCTTTAGAGACCAGAGATGGGTCAGCTTCGATATTAACCACGCTGCTTACATATCTTAAACAAGTCATGTTAAAATAAGCAACATATAAACTGCATTTTAAAGTAAACAATTAACACAAGCATGCCAGACCTGTGAGAATTGTTTTTATCTTCTTTGGTGAAAAGACAGGATTCAGAAATATCATATATTATCTTAAGTTGAAGAATGAGACCAAATGACATCTTGCGCCTATTATTTCAAACAAATCATAGAGAAAACATCTCCTCAGTTTTGCTTTTGTTCCTTTGTATTACTTTTACTTTTGTAAATTTGTAAATTCTCACCTCACATTTATTCACACAAACATTTTAACCCAGTAAAATTTATCAACCTCTTCCTGATCTCTACTCCTGTCTAAAACAAATTCTCCTTGGTCAGAATATTATTATGATCCCACCTTCACAAACGGACTTACTGACCCTGTGATGAATGGCAGATTCTATGTGAACTGTGTTCTGTTCAAGTTTAGCCTCCAGATTTTCTATTGTGGGAGTTGCGTGTTCTGTGCTTCAACCTTTGCTCGTGCTGCACCCTGCAAGGTTCCTGTCCTCAGAGGACATGCAAGAGGTATATAAAGTAAGAAAGTTATTAGTTACTAGGAATAATTCACGAGGTGATTAATGAATACAAGAATATGTTCTGCTTTCCTGCTACACACTGAATTTGTATTATGATTTTATTCTGGTGCATTTTAAGTGTTTGTTTACCAATGCAGGTCCTTGGTGCTCTGTTGTGGCTGAAATTCTCCTTTTATAATATTATTCATATTGACACTGCAGGGAAACTTCCTAAGCCGAATAGAGTGGAATTATCCAACATGAATACAGACCTCTATCCAGTTAGTATAAAAAAACTGCCTCATTTTATCCTGATTCAGCATTTGTAGATACTCGAGTGTTAGTGGCACATTATTGAAATGCTGACATTTCCTTTGCAGTGACCTGATGTAGTAGTTACTTACAGCTAATCATCTCTTTCTTTCCAAAGCTCTGAGGCCTTCTGCTATCTGTCCCCAAGACTATACTTTTTAATTATTTCCACTGAGACTGAAGTTTCTGTTTAATAATATAGTTTTATTTAAAGGAAGTAAAACTGTTTCTGAAGATTGTGTTAATTAAGCTCTAACATAACTTTTTATTATAGTTTTAACTCTGACTCCACTGCATTTTGTCTGGGACGGTTCATATTATATTTGTTATTTTGCAGATTTTAACATGAATCTACTAACATATGATAATTTATTACTATGGCTAAAGATATCCAGCAGAATAAAAGACATTTAAATCATCTCCGGCTGCAACATTAAATTTATGTACATATTAGTGAGTCAGTGATTATGATCCAATAACATAATGGATCCAACTCAAAGACACAACATTTAACACTGGAAACAGATTAGCTATAAAACTAGTATTAAGTACATTACTATTTTTAAGCCTTTCAACAATAAACAGCTTGTTTCTAGATATGGGATCATGCAGGTAAGAAAACTGTCAGGCTGACAGTGGGTAAAGGTCACTATGAGGTCCATTATAGCTATAGCTCATACTGATAAGAACAAGAAATACTTTATTTATCCCAAGTTGGGTTATTTTTAAATGATTTCTTTTAAATTATTTAATGAAATTTCAATTTATATCTATAAATTAAATGACTTTAATACAGACAATTGTTCTACATCAGAACCCGGTGTTACTTAGTTTGCTATATTTTGGGTTTACTGTAATGCTCTTTCATTTTGGCCATTAGCTTGGGCTTGATGGTCTGAGCCCTGAAGCAGTGTCCTTGTGAAAGACACCTGGGTCCCTGCTCAAAGTTTCAGATTCTCCTCATTGGTTGCACTTTAAATAACCAAATATGGGCATTTAGTCAGTTTAAAAAATGTAAAAAAAAAAAATCCCATTGACTTGCTGTTCAGTAACTGACCCAATGATCTGTCCTACATAAGTCGTCTTTTATAAGACCAAATGCTAACACTTTGCAGTTGACAATAGCCCAACATACTTTAGTTGCCTCAGTGTGGCGTGGGTCTGGGATTTGTCACGCTGAGGTGAACTCTAATTGGGAAAGCTGATTGAATGGCTGCTCACGTGGAAATGAGAGAAAGTTATGCAAAGTGTGCTGACACTCACTCGCACACCTCTGATTTCTGACTGGGAGAGAGCTAAGGGGATCTTGGGACTTGACAAAACTTGACAGTTTCAGGTCAGAAAAAACTCGAGTAAGAAATATTTCCAGTGCACTAATGAAAGACCTGAGGCATGTCATTGGGATGTTTACTCCCATATAAAAAGATCTGGTAATAATACGGTTTTCTTAAACCCTCCTACTAATCTTTGCCTGCAGCCTTAGAACAACAAAAAGACTCCTTCTCCGTGTTTACTTCTTACCCACTTTGCTCTGAATTTCTTCTAAACTAGGAGACCACTTTCTGGAATCACAGCACACGTGATTGTTTTTTCCTTTCTCTGCTTTCACACTGTTAGCATTGCCATCCTGTTGGTGGACAATGCTGAGCTAAGCTGTCCTTCTGTAAAATGTCATTCACTGTAGCTGCCTGTCTGTTTACGCTATTATTTTTCCATCAGTCCCAAACCATCAAACACATGAACTTTTCTCTCAGCGTGATTCACTGTGTTTTTTATCCTCCTACCTTTTGTTCCTTCTCTTTGCTTCAGTCATCAGCTTCACAAGACTACTCCACAATGTTTATAACTGGAGAATTATACAAGCCCTCTTTCCATTGACTGAACAAGTTGTTCCAGATTATATTGCTGCATGATGTTTCATGCATTGTGAGGGATAATTTGAGCTCACCAGGTACATTATCTTACTCATTTAAATGTTAATTTGAATGCTAATTAGAACGGTTAATCCATGATTATAAATGATGATAAATAACTTCATGAAATGTCCTCTGGATATCCTGAGCTGGCAGCATGAATCCAGACTTTAGAAAGCGTGCCGATTTGACAGCTCACAAAATCAAACACACTTATGATTACTCTCGACACTGGCGGTGTGCCCCTCATTTTGTTGAATCAGAAGTTTCAGTTTAAACTGCAATTTAGTTTCTTAATCAGAGATATCTTAGTTTGTTGTAACTATCACAAAGACATCACATATTTGGTTTTTGAATGATCTTAGCGTCATTGAGAATGATCACCAACTAGCAGTATTAGAGTGAATGGCTGGAATGAGAATTTGCCCCTCTGAGTCTGACATCATGATTTTCAGTCAAAAAGGAATGGAGTACCCACTCCGGGTTGGGATGACTCACTGCCTCAGGAGAAGTTCAGCTTTCTCTGGCTGTTGTTCATTAGCTAAGGAAAAGTTGAGCATGAGATGGAAAGAAAGTGGCACGGGATCTACAGTAAAGATGATGCTGTATTATAATGTTATGGTAAAATGACAGCTGAAGCTCTTAATTTACTGGTCAGTCTATGGCCGTGACAAGTAGTGACCATAGATCACTATTACGTTTAGTGACAAAAAGTGTCAGTAATTAGCTCCCTACAATGTGGGCTTTATAGATAACTGGCAAACCTTCTGGGGGAAACCTGGTCTTGTTAGGAGAGACGGCATCCATCCCACTTTGGATGGAGCAGCTCTCATTTCTAGAAACCTGCCTAAATTTATTAAAGCCCCTAAAACTTGACTATCCAGAGTTGGGACCAGGAAGCTGAGTTGCAGTCTTACACGCCTCTCTGCAGCTTAACTCCTCCTGTTTTCTCCCAAAACACCATCCCCACAGAGACTGTGTCAGCTCCCAAACAGACAAAAAACAAACTAAAAACCA